TCTGGTTAGCAGTCAAGTGCTTTAGCCACTATGCTACCAGAGGGTCGCTATGAGTTGGGGCCGACTCGACAGCAAAACAACAACAGCATTACAATTGTACTTGTTTCATGGAACACATGAAGATCGATATGCTAGGCATGAGTGAGCTGAAATGGACTGGTTTTGGCCATTGTGAATCAGATAATCATATGATCTATTATGCCAGGAATGACAAATTGAAGAAGAATGGTGTTACATTCTTAACCACGAAGAATGTATTAAGATCTTTCGTGAAGTACAATGCTGCCAATGATAAGAAGATAGCCATATGCCTACAAGGAAGACCAGTTAATACTACTATTACTCAAATTTACACACTGTGGTAGTTAAGTTTGTGTGTCAACCTGGCTAGGCCTGGTTGAGTGGCTGGGCAGCTGAATGTAGTTATTTCCCATGGTGAGACTGGTAACTAACTCCATGGTGGAATCCATTGGAGCAGCTGAGTAGCTGCTTTGGGTATGTGGTCTGCTTCCCATATATAAGCAGCAGCTTTGGGAATGGTCTTTAGTTTTGGCACGCTTGGACCCTGTATGTAGCCATGTTGTTGTTCAGCAGCCTGTGATGCTCCGCTGACCTTGGGATTTACAATGGACTTAAATTAATGGCCTGCCATGTGGTTTGGTAACATCGGGACTGTGCCTTTTTACCTATCGACCTTGGGCTTGTCATCCTCAGCAGCCAGCAGTTGTCTGAGTGAAGAAACGCCTCTAGCTCCAGTGGGCTGGGAGCAGGAGGCAGAGCTGGACCCAAGGTTGAGGGGCTTTCACCCAGACCCTAGAGCCTGGCACTCTGAACTTGGACTTAAGTCCTCCAAACTGTAAGACAACAAACTCCTGTTTGTTAAGGCCATCCCATTTGTGGTATATTCTTGTCAGAGCAGCACTAGGCAACCAGAACATGCACCAACCACCAAAGCCAAAGATGACAAAACTGAAGATTTTTACCAGCTTCTGCAGTCTGAAATTGACCTAACATGTAATCAGGATGTGTTAATTATCTCTGGTGACTGGAATGTAAAAGTTGGAAACAAAGAAGAATCATTGGTAGTTGGAAAATATGGTTTTGGTGATGGAAAACAACACTGGGGATTGCGTGACAGAACTGTGTAAGACCAACTACTTATTCATTGCAAATACCTTTTATCAACAACACAAGTGGTGGCTATACACATGGACTTTGCCAGATGGAGTACACCGGAATCAGATCAACTATGTCTGTGGCAAGAAGTGATGGAGAAGCTCAGTATCTTCAGCCAAAACAAGGCCAGGAGCTGACTGTGGAACAGAGCAATTGCTTATATGCAAGTTCAAGATGAAGCTGAAGACAATTAAAACAAGTCCACGAGAGCCAAAATATAACCTTGATTATATCCCATCTGAATTTAGAGACCATCTAAAGAACAGATTTGATGCATTGAACAACCTAATGACCAAAAACCAGAATAATTGTGGGATGACGTCAAGAACATCATCCATGAAGAAAGCAAAAGGTCATTAAAAGTCAGGAAAAGAGGAAAAGACCAAAATGGATGTCAGAATAGACTCTGAAACTTGCTCTTGAATGAAGAGTAGCTAAAGCAAATGGAAGAATCTATGGGATAAAAGAGCTGAACAGAAGATTTCAAAGATCAGCTCAAGAAGACAAAATCAATTATTAAAATGACACATGCAAAGACCTGGAGTTAGAAAACCAAAAGAAAAGAACATGCTTGGCATTTTTCAAGCAGAAAGAACTGAAGAAAAAATTTAAGCCTCGAATTGCAATACTGAAAGTCTCCATGGGCAATATGTTGAAGATGCAGGAAACATCAAGAGAAGATGGATGGAAGATGCAGAGTCACTATACCAAAAAGAACTGGCAGGTGATCACCCATTTCAGGAGGTGGCATATGATCAAGAACCAACGGTACTGAAGGAAGATATCAAAGCTGCACCGAAGCAAGTGCCGAAACACAAGGCTCCAGGAATTGATGGAATACCTGCTGAAATGTTTTGGATGCCACACTGAAGGCACTCACTCAGTTATGCCAAGAGATTTGGAAGATAGCTACCTGGCCAACTGACTGGAAGAGATCCGTATTAGTACCCATTCCAAAGAAAAGTGATCCCACAGAATGTGGAAATTATCGAACAATATCACTGATATCACACACACGTAAAATCTTACTGACGATAATTCCAAAATAGTTGCAGTAGTATATTGACACAGAACTTCCAGAAATGCAAGCTGGATTCAGAACAGGATGTGGAACAAGTGATATTATAGCTGATGTCAGATGGATCTTGGCTCACAGCAAAAAATACCAGAAAGATGTTTACTTGTGTTTTCTTGACTATGCAAAGGCATTCGATTGTGTGGATCATAATAAATTAGGGATAACACTGGGAAGAATGGGAATTCCATAACACTTAATTGCACTCATGAGGAACCTGTACATAGACAAGGAGGCTGTTTTTCGAATAGAACAGGGGGATACTGCATGGTTTAAAATCAGGAAGGGAGTGTGTCAGGGTTGTATCCTTTCACCATACCTATTCAATCTGTATGCTGAACTAATAATCTGAGAAGCTAGACTATATGAAGGAAAACGTGGCATCAGGACTGGAGGAAGGCTCATTAACAATGTGAGATACGCAGATGACACAACTTTGCTTGCTAAAAGTGAGGATACTTGGAGCACTTACTGATGGAGATTAAAGACGACAGTCTGCAGTATGGATTATATCTCAGTAAAAAGAAAACAAAAATCCTCACAACTGGACCTATATGCAGCATCATGATAAATGGAGAAAAGACTGAAGTTGTCAAAGACTTCATATTGCTTGATTCAACAATCAACACCAACAGAAGCAGCAGTTAAGACATTAAAAGACGTATCACATTGGGCAAATCTGTTGCTTTTAAAAGACCTCTTTCAAGTGCTGAAGAAGAAAGATATCTCCGTGAAGGCTAAGATGTGCCTAACCCAAGCCATGTTATTTTCAATCACCTCATATGCATGTGAGAGCTGGACAATGAATAAGGAAGACTGAAGAAGAGTTGCTGCTTTTGAGTTGTGTTGGTGAAGAACGCTGAAAGTTTCATGGACTGCTAAAAGAACTAACAAGTCTGTCGCAGAAGATGTGCAGCTAGAATGCTCCTGGGAAGTGAGAATGTCCAGACTTTGTCTTACCTACTTTGTTGTCAGAAGGGACCATTCTCTAGAGAAGAATGTCATGCTTGGTAAAGTGGAGGGTCAACGAAAAAGGGAAGGCCTTCAACAAAATGGATTGACACAGTGTTAGCAGCGATGGGCTCAGGTATAGTAGGGATAGTGAGGCTGGCACAGGACTAGGCAGTATTTCATTCTTTTGTACATAAAATTGCTGTAAGTTGGAGATGACTCGATGGCACATAACAACAAAAACTTACTTCATTTGGTAATTATGAACAGTTAACAGGCAAGATAAAGATTCAATAAATATGAAAGTTGGATTTGATATAAATATTATAACTCACTGTCAT